AGTAATTCTCATCTCACCAAGTCTCAGGACCATATTTATCTTCTGGTATTAGTATTACAAAATCTGCTTTGTTGACCACCTATCTTGTGGGCCTGGAAGCCTTCAGTATGGAAGAAGCCAGTGTCTACAACCTAGCAGAAAAGGGAAATTTGGTCAATGCAAAGCTGTAATCAGGGAGATCTAAAAAAGATAGCTTAATAACATGTCTCCTGGTCACTGAAAACTGAAAGACATTACAACTGCACAAGAAAGGCTTTCGATGTGTACTGTCTTCCTTTAGGGGAACACAGCTCATGCACATCTTAAAGTAAGGTATAATGTTTAACTCCATTTGCTGTCATTTATAATTTCTGCCAAAAGTGGATTATGCATTTTCCTACATTCTTAAAATGAAACATACTGGTTACCATTTAATCTCTCTTAATAAATCACAGTCATCCTTTTGATGTACAAGCTGTACAATCATGAAGAAATGTCTGCAGGGGTTATTTGATGTGCAGAGTTGCCTGCCCTGCCATAGAATGGCTCCAGGCTGCTATGGTTTTGTTTTTTTTTTTTTTTTTTTAACTTCCCATATATTTTTTTCAAAATGGTTTATCTCTCTCCTCCCTTGTTGTCAAGCTGTCAGTCAGCTGTCACTTTTTACTGCTGTCAGTGAGACTGCCTTTATCACACCCCCAATTTGATGCTGCTAATCTGCTGTCAGCTGAAAAATCAGATAATCAAGACCTCCGAAATTGCATTTACAATAAGTGGTGGGCTGAGCACCGGATGAAGATTTTGAGATACAAGTTCTAGTTCCTGCTCTGCCTATATCTAGCTGTGTGATTGCCAGAAAACATATAACTTCTCTGGGCCCTGGCACCTTCATCCATAAAATAAGGGGAGTGTGTGTGTGTGTGTGTGTGTGTGTGTGTGTGTGTGTGTGTGTCAGAGACAGAGACAGATCTCATCCAGACCTGAATCCTAAGTTTCTTTGGCTGTGAGAATACACATGAAACTTTTCTGTGACTTAATAGAATGCAGGGTGGATGCCACTGACCTTTTAATGGTCAAATTCAAGGACGCTTTTTAGTCATCACTTTACTTAACCTCACTGCTGTGAATTCACTAATGATTATCTCCTTAGAACTCTCTCCCCTTTGTTCCACAGGATAATTATTTCAGCGTTGACCTCCTGACTCTTACTTATTCTTCTCACTTCAATCTTGGGCTCTTCCTCCACCAACCCCTTAAGTGTCAAGAATGCCAAAGTGGCTTCAATGTAAAAAAGTCAGGACGATGATGAGGAACCCAGCCAAGGAGCCTGAGAAGCAGCAGTCTGTGTGAAAATCAGCGGACTATGTGTGCTAAGACAAGTGAAGAATGTGTCATGGTGTGTCAAATGCTGCTGCTATGATAAGTAAGATGCGGACTACGAACTGAACACAGGATTTAGAGACAGAGGTGACCCTGACTAAAACAATTTCAGTGGAATACTTTTCACTCAAAACAGGAGGAAGGAACAAGTATAAACAACTCTTTTAAGAGGTTTTGCTACTAAGAGAAGGAGAGAAATGAGGTAGTAGAAGGGGGAAGTGGAATAGGGAGAAAAAAAAGTTTAAGATGAAAGAAATAGTAATAGTTTTGTATGTTAACAGAAATAATTCAGACAAAAGAAAAATAAGAATAATTCAGAAGGAAAACTGATGATGCAGAATAGACCAGGAAAAACTGCCAGGACAATAGGCCTTGAGTATGTGGGATGGATGAGTTCTGGAAAAGTGGAGATGGGGCCTTACACAGAAGCAAGGTCAGCTCATCCCCAGTAACAGGTGAGAAGATGGAGAATATGCACCCAGAAGAAGCACATAATTGGGTGGACCTGGTAGTATCAATAAATAAAATTGTCTTCTGATTGCTTCTATTTCCTCAGTCATCAGCTGAGAATGAAGATAGAAGATTTGGTACTGGAGTGTTCTTTAAAAAGTAGAAGGCATAATTATCTAGAAGAAGGGAAATGCTTGCCAGGTAGCTCAAAGGGCCCATCTGAATCTTAGGAGTCATACATTTAGAACATGCTAATAAGTATGACATGCTTTTCTCCAGTCATGTTTAGTCCATGATTATAGGAAGAAAGTGTATGAACACATAGATTTAAACAGACGAGGGTTTTTGCCAATCAAATATGAAACAAAAGGTGTAAAAGATTTGAGAGGATATGCAAGGGAGTAAACATAATGATGGAATAAGAAAGTTAAGCTGGACAAAGAAAGAGAAAATAGGACAAGAGTGAAATTAAGTTGGCTCAATCAATGGATGGTAGGGTCTGGTGAGGCCAAAGGATTGTTTGACTCAAGGTGATAAAGAAAATAAACAAAACCAATCTCCTTATTTATATTAGATTCAGCTTTTAGGAGAGTAGTTCTCTTTTCATGTGTCAATTATAGGATGGTAAGGGGTGGAGGGAAGATAGTCCTCTATATTCAGATGCCAATAAATATGCTAGGTTATAAATTAATGGGGGGGGTAATAAGATAAAATAACCTTTTATTGTGGGTCTACTGTATGCTAAGCACTATCCTAGGTACATGGTATACATTATTTCATTTAATCACTGCATCATCCCTATGAGATGGTTTAATCACAACCATTAACAAACCTAAGTGCAAGGTCATTCCACAGGAACAGATCACGCAGCTAGTAAGTGGTGTTCAAAACTCAATACACGTATACGTGACTAAGGCATCTAAGAGCTTTCCCATCCCAAAATATTCAATACAGATAATGAAATGTTTTCAAGGGAATACACTCTCTTGCTATTTATCTGGTCTTTGGGAGTGACGCAGGAGATGAGTGAGGAAGGCAAGAGGTAGCAGTAGGTGCCATGAATCCAATATTAGCGAAACCACCGAAGTGACAGACATGCTCTGAGTTTTAACAGACAGAAACTCTAAAAATCTTCATTTATTTTGTTGGAAATATGGCTTTTCTCCCCTCTCTAATTAATATCCATTATATTATATAGCACAATGATTAATAATTTAACTGTATCTTCTGCTTTGTTTTTAGTTAAATTCATTTTTTCCCATGACCAAATAATATTTGGATTGGGAGAAAGATACAAGCCTTCAAATATATTTTTTAATCACCTTGGTTATTTTGCTTTTGGAATTACTAAATACTTTTCAACATCTCAACAAAATAATACGGTTTTGAAACTGCAGGCTTTAGAATGATTGTCATTCATGCAAATAATCACTTACTTACACTATATGAGTTTGGGTTGCATAAAGCAAATTACCATTTGAAAATAATTCAAATAACACTCCTTGCTTATGAATGTTACATTGGCCACAATATTTCTTAACCTTTTTCTATTTAGCTAGATTCCTTTATGGTAATATCATCCAAATTAATAACTATTCAACTGCCACAGGTATATTAAACATAAGATGTTGCAGAAACATATCGGATGTAAATGAATTTTAAAACATTTACTTAGAATTCTATGGCAGTAATAATTAAGAGGAGCTATAACCACCAACACACTTATAGATATACGTTTTCCCTATATGTGATGTTAAAAAACCTTAAAACATGTCAAAATATAAGGTTCATATTTTTTAAAATTCAGATATATAACTGCTCTAGTTAATCACAGGCAAAGTATAACTATTACAGTTTTCAAAAGTTGAAGTTCTCTCATCACACATAAGAAAACTGTATGCACAAATACATACAGATAATATACATAATTACATATATATTCTGAAAATTGCTTGTGATCATGGCTCCACTTAGCTTTACAGTTTTCAAAACAGCAAATAAATCATAAACTGTTTTTGACAAATGACCTGTAATGACAGGATGCTTGAATGGTAAGTAGAAATTGGAATCAGAAGTCATAAAGCCTAGATGTTAATCCAGTCTGTGACAATGACAAGGTGAATACAAGCCAATCTCTACTTCTCTGGGCCTCTGTTTTCTGTACTCTATAAAGATTAAGCAAGATGGTCTAACTTAAATTTTATGACTCACTAGCTTGATTTTCTATGGGGCAGATTTTTCTTCGGTGAAATATTAACAAATAAGACACTCAAATAAATCAGCAATAGGCGTGTAGATGAGGACTACCATTTCTACAGCAAAATATGGGTGAAGTCAGTAGTGTAGAACATAGAAGTTAATGCTGACCTCTTGCATAGCATGTTTGGATATTAAATCATTTCCTGCCTTCATTGCAGGGATGAGGATGAAACAGCTGTTCCTGAACTCTTTTAAGAAAGCAGTCAGTAAAAAACAGCAGCGTCTCCCGCTAGTGTGAGTCCCGCTGAAGTAAACTTTCTGTTCACAAGGGAGAAATATTCCTAGTGGTAGTAAAAACAGTTTTTCTAGGTTTAATCAAAAGTGAAAAGGAATTCCAGAATGTTCTCTTTGAGCCACATCATCCACTGCTAATTCAAGGTGGGCCCAGCAACAAGGGTAATTAAAAAAAATGTCCTTAGTAACTAAGAAAGAGAAATGGCAATTAGGTACATTTGTAAACCAATACAGAAGACTTAACTCTTTATTAAGATAATATAAATAATTAAAAATAAAGAAAAAAAAATAGTATGGGAAATGAATTAATCCAAGCAGTGAGATTTAACATTGACTTATCTAGACCAGTTATTATATATATAAATCAAAGGACATAAGCTGAATGCAAAGGTTGAGAAATATGCTTGACAATGACTTCTGTAACAAAAAAAATAAAGAAACAAAACACCAGGCTGTTTTGACAAACAAATAAATAAAAGGAAAGAAAGGAAGGACTCAATATCTGAACTATTTAGTGATGGGTTAGACACATGATGATTTAAAATCTTTGTAAATCACGGCATGGTAAGATAGAACTAAATTCTCTAATTAACCATACTTAGGCTGAAAAGTTAAAACTGGCATGAAGAACATCAATTTCTATACACTTAAGTAATAATTTATGACACAATATTGAGAACAGAGTCGAACATACTGACCTGCTCACATCAGGAAACCTGATGGGAAAGTAAATAACTTGGCACTTGGGTCTGATGATGCTTTCCAGATCCTTGGGTCTGTGATCAGGAATCAGCTTCATAAATTTTCCAATGGAAGTGAGAAATGATTCCATATTAAAAACTGAGTTGAATACAACCACATCAGCCACCAGGCTGTTAAGGTAAAAGACAAATGCAAATGATGAGCCCAGACTCATTCAGAGTAATTTTTATCAACCTAAGACCTCTATGGATTAATCAGAGTTTTTATTGCACCTTAGGTTTGCAAAGAACTCTTCATTTCACATCAGTATCTACCAAAATGTCTCTAAGAGCTAAGTTAGTTTCACTACTGTTATATCACAGGGAGTTGATTGGTGGCGTCAGACTGGAAAGGCAATAGGGAAATGGAATGATTTAATGGGATTGCATGAGACTCCAAACCAAAGCATATTTTTCCACAATGCCAGGAACTTTCTATATTATCAACAACATTAAGTACAGCAATTCCTTTTTCTTCATGGCCCAACTACCCATGTTGAATTTCTATGTCAGTGATGTGCATCGTCTTACACCATACTACTGAGAACAGAACATCTGTCATACTTCTCACTAACTTCAAGGAGACTAATTCAGACAAAACTATTTTCATACTAGGGCATGATACCTTCAGCACTATTTGGTTAAAGTCTACTTCTTGCTTTAGCCTTTACTTCAAGAACTGTGTTAAGTTTTTGAAATTTCTGGGACTACACAGAAAGGATTATGGTATCCCAAAATAATTTGTTTCACTATCATATTATATTATATTGGGCTAGCTAGAGAAATAGAAGAAATTGATAGAAATGGATCCAGAAATCCAGATCACTAGGTCCTAACTGATTACATAAAGGTACATATAAATTATAAAACACCGCAACACCATGGACCTTTGAATTCAACAAAATAAATGTAATAATACCAGTCCGCAACACCAATGGTTCAAACTTAAGATTTTTTTAACTTCACAATGGTGAAAATGTAATATACATTCAATTAAAACCATACTTCGAAAACTGAATGTTTATCTTGTCCTGGGCTAATGGTATGTGCACAATATTCTCTCACGATGCTGGGCAGCAGCAGTGAGGTACAAATCTCAGTGAGCCACATGATCACAAGGGTAAACAACCAATACTCTACAGTGGCCTGTGCTGCCAGATGATTTTGCCCAATTGTAGGCTAATATAAGTATTCTGAATATGTTGAAGGTAAGTTAGGCTAAGCTATGATGTTTGATAGGCTAGTTGTATTAAATGCATTTCAACTTATAATATTCTCAACTCACAATAATGGATTTACCAGGCTGTAATCCTATCCTAAGTTGAGGAGCATCTGTATACAAGATTAAAGGGACAAAGCAATTGGTTTTATTCTACCCTAAAAATGATAGATCAATACCACTGGAAAGAAGACATGTTATGTCCACAGGACTGCAGAACACCACAGAATAAGTAGAGCTTATAGAATAGGAATGCCATAGTCAATTGTCAGTTTCGTTTAAGTCATATTTGCTGAGACAGCCAAATTTACTATTACAACGTTAACATATAGCAGAATAAAAAATGAACAAAAAGAGTGTTGGCCTGCTACTCCCATGACCCCCCGAAAAAAAACTGATTTTCCATACAAGTATTGTTTATCAGTTGCTACCTAGTGCAAATTTGGGGGGTGCGGGTGATTACAACATGAATAATACAAAGGAATGTCACAGAAGTGCTGACACAACACTAAGCAATAAGGAAGCCAAGATAACAATATACCAAAAGTTGAAGGATGTTTTACAGCTAGTCTGTTTTCACCATATGTCACATATTGTAATAGCGACCTACAGGTCATAATATACAGTTGTGACATGTGTTCATAAGTCAGAGGGTTAGTGAAACCACTGTTTAAGGTGAGTACTTATGTCAGTCATCTTTGAAGTCCTTAACTGCCACACAGTCAAGAAAGAAGTCTGACAGTGCCAAAAAAGCAGAAGTCAGCAAGAAAACTAAAGAAACATGTGAGGAAGCAGGAGTCATACTTTTCAAAGAGAATCTGAACAGGACTGCCTTTTGACACTCTTATTTTTCCTCTGGACAACTGTGAACCATTTTTTTCCCATTAAGAAGCCAACTGATGATGAAGTCCACTTCTCTTTCTCCAAGCTTGTCTGTAAGTTTACCCTCTTGAGAAAAGCAATGCTGAAAAATCATGTACAAAACTTTTATAGTCTCATTGCCTATGAGCAAAAACAATGTTTTGTGAAAATGAGGGGGAATCGAGAGCTGAATTGTTTTAGACAGCTTCCCTCAAAGGGCATGTGACCCAACAACTTAACATTCTTAAAAATCCAGTCTATGCTAAATTAAAGATCCAAGATAGTTTACAGAAATATCCTTTTTGGTACATTTCCTCCCTGATATGAGTGGATGTAACTTCCATTAACTTTAAAGCCACCCATAAAGGGAAAAATAGACTTAGTTTTTTTCCCAGTGATTTCTCAGGGGTAATAAACATACTATCTGAGGAAAAGAATGATGCTAATTCAAGAAATCAAAAGAATATTACAAATGTTTCCCATATTGATAAAGCACAAAATGATTTTATTTTCATTTTTAAAACATATTTTCCTTCTCTGCTTCAATATAAAGTATTTTAATTTTATTATGAAATTTTAAAACGGCTGCTTTTTTTTTATGAGACATTTGACGTGAAGCAGTTCCACTCTATTTTGATAGCACTGCTACTTCACAATTGAAGCAGCTTGTAAAAATGACTGTAGGAAAACATTCACAAAATGCACACAACACAGAATTATTACTATATAGCGTTTTTCTATGTCAACTAAACTATGAAACATTCTTGCAAGAGTTGGGGGTCTGTATAAACACATCATCAAACCCAGCTGCTAATAGCTGTTAATAAAGATGAATAAAATGTACAAAATCACTGACAAACAGATTCCGTTTGACTGTTGCAGTTATGTGAATAGGATCCAATAGCAAAGCCATTTCAGAATTGTTATTAACTTCTTTCATTAACTAAGCTTCAGGAGATACACTTTGTCTAAGTAACAATAGAGAAGGACCATCACCTTCAAAATGTCATGGTATTTTAAGGCTGTGTCATTTCAGAAGACTCAATGAGGGAAAAAAGAAAGCACTACCTAAAGATTCATTTTCCATACTCGTCTCTGTCTTACAATAAAATAAAAAGGCGGGGGAGGCAAAACCCCAAGTTGCTCCATTATGCTTTAATTTTTATTTTTCTGTAATACTCTATTTTGATTTTAGCTGAATACAGTGATCATGATTAGTAAGTAAAAGTTGACTAACTGCACTTTCTAAATGCCTTAAGCAATAGATTATGAAATCAAGGGGTGAAGGTCCCTGCCAACCTTTTAATTCTATTTTGAATGTTGTGAAAAATAGATAATTAGCTCAACATATAATTAGATTGTTACATATATGTATTTTTATAAAATGATTAGTGAACTTACATATACTGCAGAAGGAAGAATTGTTTAAATATCTGTACCTACCTTATGGTGTTTTTTAAAAAGGTGTATGGTAGTAGGTCTCCAGATTTAAAATGTAACCACCTACAAAGAAAAAGGTAGCAAAGGGCCAAATACAATGATACAATGTATACCTACCATGAAAGAATTTGGTTGTATCCATACTGGAAATCCCTCTCCTGACATTTCTTGACAGGATATATCAACTGGTTCTCGTGAAAATACAGAATCGTTTTCAGTTTCCCAAGGTCAGGCCGAAGGGCAGCCAGTTCGGTCAGGTTAAGCACTGAACTTGCAAAGAGGGTCCTAGGAAACAAGAAAATTGGGGTTTACTGTCCCAAGTATGTTTGAAGGGGTCATGCTTTGCTCTTCTCTCCTCTTTCCTCTTCCCACCCCAAGAAAAACACATCCCCTATAGGGACACATCAATAGTTGAGCCTTAATACCATGTAGCAGCATTCTAAGTTTTGATCTCTTAAAAAGCAGCTGCTTAGAACTATAAAGTCCCCGAATCTCACTGGTCTTCTCAGTGCAGTTACTGAGAAATGTTTAAAAAAAAAAAAAAAGCCGGATGGATTTTATTGAAAAAGGCAAGAAAAGCTCTATCTGAAGGACAAATGGAACAAAGATAACGCTGACTGGGGAATACTTTGCTTGCCAGTTTCATTACACTTTCCTTCTTTATGCAACCAACTACTGAAATTCAATGTATGAGCAGGAATGGCACATGTTCATGTTATGACATAAACCCTTTTGATTTATGCAATAGGCTTATCTAGTATGGTCTTTTTCTCTTGGCATGTTTTCTTACCCTCCCCTCACTTGTAAAGTATCTTACAATACTTGTATTTTTAAAAACATCTTTTCTTCTCCATTACTGGACTGCTAATGGTACCAGATGCATGATCTGTAAAATCCCTTAATAAAGCACAAATATAAAAATTTGATGAAAGGCTGATTCCTTATCTTTAGGGAAAAAGGGAAACTGAAAGCTTGCCTATCCATGTTTATAAATGAAAAAAAGTGTCAATTTACTCTGTCATTACACATATATTTACTAAATGCCTACTATGTGCCAGGGTCTAACCAGGAAGAACAGAAAAGATGAACAAGACAGCTCAGCAGGATAAATGCTGCCTGTAATACAGACATACACAAAACATTAGAGAAACAAACAGAAAGCAATTCTAATTGTCTGGGACAACCTGGAAATGTTTCCCTAATGAGGTACCTATTGCATATGGACACAAAAGAGGGACAAAGTACAGGTCTTGAGCAGCTGAGGACATTTAGATGGCACAATTTTGATAGAATGCCACCTTTATAACATAATGTAACATAATTTGACCTTTATAGCTTTAATTCCCATTCTAAAAAATCAGGTTCAAGAAGGTTAAGAGTTTTTTCTAGGATCACACTGGTAGAAAGTGGCAAAGCAGAGAGACTGCTGGTCTTCTAAGAGCTCAAACTGCTTTTCATTACACCACAGATATGAATTGGTTGCGGACCACTTACATTGCAAGTGCTTTTTTCTGTACTTAATAAATACAAAATATCATCCTTGTTATTACCATGATTACAACTACTATAAATCCTCCCTTGCTGACAGGCCAAATGGCTAACTTCAGGTGTTTATACGATCTGCTGCACTAGCCTTTCACATAAGAAGAATGATTACATAATAAGTACATATATCACAAGTAGGAATTCAAGTGTCTTCTTCATGGGCTAAAAGAGGCACGTAAGACCAAAAGCCAGCAATCCCTCTTCAAACCTACATAGCTATATTAATGTTATAATTTATCTCTTTAAGGGAAAAAAAATCTTACCAAGGAGATGCATTTATTTTTTTAAACTTGTCTGGCTATACCCAAATAAAAAAAAAAATTATAGCCAAACAATGCCCTATTTTGTCCAAACATATTCCCCCTACCACTATCACATATAAGCCTCTCTAAAACTTATATTGAAAATTCTGAAACATGAAGATATTTGCTTACCTAAAAATCTCATCTTCAGCAGACAAAGCAACAAAATATTAATTTCAAACAATACTTTCCTTAAAAGGGAATACATGGCAACTTGTAGGTCTAGTTACGGAGTAATCCTTCCTCCTCTCCTTCTATTCTTTCTTACTATCCCCATCCCTGACCATACATATTACTGGAAGCAATGAAGCCCATTCTTAATCATTATCACCTGGGCAAGCACAATTTTTTTTTCACACACAAGGCAGAAAAATGCATTAAAAGAAGCCTTCATATGAGTTACTAATTACAAAAATATACCTTTTATGATGGGGAAATCTGGTAGAAATCAATTTAACCAAGTGATCAAACTTTCTATGACCAATAATGGGACAAAGTGATATCCTGTATTTCTAAATGTGATACATTGAGAAAGATACAAATCATCAGTGTAGTATTCCTGCCAAAAATGCCTAATCTGAATTTGGTAAGGAATAACCAGACAAATATTCTGCAAAATAATTCACTGGATCTCTAAAAATGCCATATCATGAAAGAAAAAAATCTAGATTAAAGGAAATAAAGACACCCAAAACAAAATCCAGTAAGTGATCCTTCACTGGATACTGGAAGGGGAAAGCACACCTAGTAAGGACATTATTAGGACAATAGGAAAAATCTGAATGTGGGCTGAATATAAGACTGCAAGTTTTTGTCAATCTTTAATTTATTAAATACAATAATTTTATTACAGTTATGTAGGAGAACAATCTTATTCTTAGGAGATTCATGTCAAATTACTTAGATGTGAAATGCCATGTTGTCTGCAGTTAATTATTAAATAGTTCAGCCAAAATGCTACTGCTAATAATAAATATTAATATGTACATATTTACAGAGATAGAAAAATTAAAAATGTGCAAACACATTAACAATTGATTAATCTATGTGAACAGGTGTGTAGTAATTCATAGCTTCAGGGGAAGGGGAGAATCTAATAAAAAGATTTCATGGAGCAAGACATTGTCCTACTGCAAATTTTGGGTAAGTTATACATTTATAAAACTACACATTTGAAGTAATAGGCATTAAATGGCAGTAAGTAGAAGAAAAAAGTTCTATACTCCATAAACAATAAACCCATCATATCTGTATTTCTAGCCATATTCCAACTGCTAATTTCTACATGAGGATTACCCTCAGGGTGAATTATCTATAGCTAATGTTTAACCGAGAGGAGCCCTTCACTCTATTTCTACCACATGTCCCCCTACCCACCAGCTTATCCACAACCAAAGAATCCAACCAGCCTTTAGAAAACCTTCCAAATAAAAGAAGGCAATATATTCATATGAGAAATAACAATAATTTTTTTTTTTTTTGAGATGGAGTCTCGCTCAGTTGCCCAGGCTGGAGTGCAGTGGCACCATCTCGGCTCCCTGCAAGCTCCACCTCCCGGGTTCACGCCATTCTCCTGCCTCAGCCTCCCGAGTAGCTGGGACTAAGGCACCCGCCACCACGCCCAGCTAATTTTTTGTATTTTTAGTAGAGACAGGGTTTCACAATGTTAGCCAGGATGATCTCGATCTCCTGACCTCGTGATCCGCCCGCCTCGGCCTCCAAAAGTGCCGGGATTACAAGCGTGAGTCATCGCGCCCGGCCAACAACAATAATTTTCATAATATTCACCAGTTGAGACTGCCCATGCCAACACTTCTTTCAGTTTGTTTAATCATTAAAAGAAAATTCACTCTATTTGTATAACTAATCTTGAAATACCCCTCACTAGTTTTAAATAGTGGAAATTATCTCCATCATTTCTCTTTGCTTTTCTTGCTTGTAAATTGGTAAAGTGGTCAATAAGCAATTTCTCAAATATTTAGCTCAACAACACTCAAAAAGAAGTAATGAATATGGCCACAAAGGGAATGCAGGCAATCCATAGGCAATACAAAATTTAATAAATCAAAATTTACTACTATCAATTTTTAAAAGTTGATTATAATACAGTGAATGACATCACTTGATCAGCAGCTAATCCCCGGGCTACCAATGCTCATCTTGCCTCAGGTATTATTTAAGCAATAAATCCTAACAAGGTGCACTTTATCATCCCACAGTGTGTCTCTAGCAGGAAAGGACACAAGGTGATAGCAAAAACCACGAGGAACAAGGTAATTCCTGACAGCTGCTGCTTGAGCACAAGTTAAATTGAACAGTTTATCTCAGCATGAAGATGTTATAAGGTTTTATGTGTACTATTTTTAAATTAACATAAAACCCAGAGAAAGCAGTTGAGCAATCTTTCACAAACATGACATACTACAATCACTGTATAAGCTGGATTAGTACTTATTACCATGCTACTACAGAATTAAGCTGTTTTTAGACCACCGAAGAGCTTTAAATTGCAACTTTTGTCTCTGTAAGAGAAACCTATATTTTAAATGTCTGCTAAATTCAAATTAACGGCTACATCATTAGCTTACCATTTCACCAAAAGTACAAGTAAGCTGCTACTATAATCGTCTAACCAAAATGGCTCTATGCTGCAAGCACATTAACACCATTCCATGTATTTGGGAATAGGACCTGTATACATGTTTCGATTGCTTCCAATATACATTGTATCTACATTTTAAGTCATATACCTTTAAGGAATCCAAAACAGCGAAACACAATGAAATTCAAAATTAAATATTTTATTCTTTTCTGCTCAGTTTGAATAAATCAGTTGTTTGCCTTTTACCCTATTTACTTAATATGTAAAAAGAAAAGCTGAAATATACCTAAGGACAGTAGTAGTGTGACCATTACCATCAAGATACACACTCTTATATCTTGAATGGTACAGAAGGGAAGTGAAATGAGTTAACAGAGGGCAAGCATTCAATATTCCAGCCACTGTCCATACATTTTAGTAATGATTCTTCATGGGCTAGGTCATCTCACTCTTGCCCCATGAAATCTTTTCAATAGGCACCCCTCCTCTCCTGAAGCTATTTATGACATAATGAGATAGAGTATACAATTTAACACAGATGCCAGTTTGGGCTGTGTTACCACTCATACACAGTTTCTTGCATGGCTTCAGGAGGCCTTTGACAAAAGAGTAAATTCTTCCAGCTTTGTCACTTTGCTCAATACCTAAACTCTTGGTCTAGATTCATGTTGCTAAGACTTATTACCTAAGCCTCGGTTCTTTCATTGTTTCTCGTGGGTTCCTGTTCCTTGATACCTACTCTCTAGGATCCTAGATCCTGTATTTTCTGTGATGCAGTATTTTCTATGATGATGAAAATGTTCTATATCTGTACTGTCCACATATGACTAGCTACATATGGCTATCGAGCACTTGAAATGTAGCTAGTACTCCTGAGGAACTAACTTTTAAATTTAATTTGATTAAATTTAAATTTAAATCCACTAGCCATATGTGGTTAGTGGCTACTGCATTAGAAAGCACAGTTCTGGATGAACCAGCTTTCCCTAACCTGACACTCATGTTACCTGAATATAATTACCTGCTTAACTGATTTTCCTGAACAGACCCTTGACCTGCTTATGATAACCTAATTTCTATGTTGCTCCTGCCTAGAAGAATTTCACCTACTCAGCTCTCCAATTCTGGAATGGCAATACTTTTTCTTTTCCTTCTGAGAACTAGAAAGTACACGTTCACTATAGAAAATGTTTTAAGCAAAATAAATAAATAAATAAAGTGAATATCACCCATAACTATTCCAAAGAGAGATAGCTACTATTTGCATTTTGGTGCTCTAAGCATGTGCTTAGCACGTATTATTTGCAAGGCACTATGCTAAATTACAGACATAAAATGGAAAACAAAGTAGTTGAGGCAAGAAGAAAAATGACAGGTTGAGGAACTGAATGAAGACCAAGGAGGTTGGAGCCAATGGGAGAGTGACCAAAAATAAGAGTGAAGATTCAAAAGTAAGACATGAAAATAATTTTGGTTTTGTGGTAAGATAGGAAGAGATGGAAGGATTTTAAGTAGGGAAGTGACAAAATCTTATATGTACATTAGGTATATTTTCTTTTATTCTTTCCATGTTGTAACAGAAATACATTATTGTAGCTTCGTTTCTTGCTTTCAACATCATGTTGCTTTACCATGTTAAAAAATTTCTAAAAGATATGATTTTTTATTACATTTCATGATATGGTATGTCATAATATCTCCAACTAGGGCATGATTTTTTTTTTTTGAGACGGAGTCTTGCTCTGTCGCCCAGACTGGAGCGCAGTGGCGTGATCTCCACTCACTGCAGCTCCGCCTCCCGGGTTCACGCCATTCTCCTGCCTCAGCCTCCTGAGTACTGGGACAACAGGCACCCGCCACCACTCCTGGCTAATTTTTTGTATTTTTAGTAGAGTCGGGGTTTCACCGTGTTAACCAGGATGGTCTCGATCTCCTGACCTCGTGATTCACCCACCTTGGCCTCCCAAAGTGCTGGGATTACAGGCGTGAGCCACTGCGCCCGGCCTAGGGCATAATTTTTATACTCATGTCCATAAAGTTTTGAAATCTTCTTTGTATTAATCTCTTATATTACTTTTGTTTATATAATTCACGCATTTTTAAATTAGTTTTTAATACCAGAAAACTTTACTGACTACCATATGGAAAGCAGACTGCAAGGAGTCATGAGTGGAAGAAGACAGCAAGAAGAGAAAAAAAATGACACTGTCTTGGGCTAAGATGCTAATATTGTGAGAGTGTTACCAAGTGGCCTGACTGGGTGTACTGATAACTGTCAGGGTTTGCTGATAAAACTGGATACGAGAAGTGAAAGAGAGGACAGCTATTGCTTTCTTCCCTTTATCACTTTCAAAGCACCTTGACAGAGTTTTAATTACAACAGAAGCTCAATGATACATACACACATAAATGAAAATTACTCCCAAGCATTTCAAAAGTCTTTGGTTTCAACATATTTTTTAATTCATAAAACTTGTGTAGAGAGATAACTGAGTTCTAATATTCATTAACTATCAATATACAAAATTCATTTTAACATAATTTGCTTTAGTTGTCAGCTACTTAATCTTAATTGGACCATTTCTACTGCATGTTGAAATGCCATGGATATTCAAAAACTTTCAAAAACACTGCCTAACAAAATGTTTCCCTTTGCTGAAACAATTAAAAATATAAGATGGAAGTCTTATCTAAAGGAAAAGGAAACACAGTTATTTAATCTCCCAGGTTCTTGTGGTGGCAATTTACAGGCTGTTTATAAATAGAATATCCAGTTTTCCAAAAGCTGTCTCATCGTGTGGCATCAATCAGGAAGTTTTACTTTTTTCCACCATGTAATTTTCCTTTCCTGTGCTTATCACGATGACCAGGAGAGCACCGTATGCAAAAAAGCACTGTATACAGAACACTTGTCAAGAAGGTAGGGAATCAAAGACTGTAGGCACAACCTGCCACTGAGCAGTATCTCCAACATAAGGCTGTTTTCTTAACATCTATCCTTGCTGCAATCAATCATCAGCACTCTGAACTGTCTTATGGATGTTTAAGGAAACAAATTCCATAATGCCTATTGAGATCCTTTAGCTAAAGGTGTCACTTAAATTCAGGTGTCTCTTAAATTATTTCTGCAAACGCTGAGTCTTTTAACTCTTGGTATCTGGCACAGTGCCTAATCCATAAAAGACACTTTGTAATTACGTTTCTAACAAGAAAGGAAGAGACAAGAAGAGAGGGTGAGCCTACTATTTTAAAAAATCTATAGATACACTGAAATTTTTATTGCATATATTTAAACATTTTTTCATGTACCTGTTTATTTCTTTTGGGACTGGAGTCCATTATTAAGAGTATTCTTACAAGGTCCAAGGTAATATGAACCGCAACATTTGTAGATATATCTGTTTTTAGACATTCTATCAATAAGTCAACAAATCAGAACACTGTAAAATCTTTTGACTTGGCAATTTAACAAGTACAAGATATCATCCCATTCTAAAAGAACGGACAATATAATTGGTGAAATAAGCCATAAATACAGGAA